TTTAGGAAATGGGTACCACTCCTGATATATATATATATATATTATTTTTTTAAGAAATGGATCTCTGAAGCTTTGATACTTTGGACATGTCGCAAGGAGGGACCAATCCTTGGAGAAGGATGTCATGCTTGGGAGGGTGGAGGGACACCACAGGAGAGGACGACCCTCTATGAGGTGGATTGATTCAGTGACTGGGGTAAACAGAGGCAGTAAGGTTGGCACAGGACAGAGCAGGGTTTACTGTTGTACGTAGGGTCGCTATGACTCGCAGGTGACTCAATGGCACATAACAACAACAACAACAAGTTTATATGTAGTGTTTCAACCTGCAAAGAGAAATAAATATTTATAAAGATGCTGATAATGAAAGGTAATAATTGTTAAAACTGACATAGAGATGGTAGGTCAGAACTAACACTGCAGTCACTGCGACATAATCCCAGCATTAATCTGTGGGGCTACTGAAGCTTTGACCCCAGTGTTTCTATCCCTGACTGGTAAAAATCTAGTTGACATCAAACTGATCCCAACTCATGGTGACGTCCTGTGTTTAAGGGAACTGTATTCCACGGGGTTTACAGTGGTTGATTTTTTGAAAGTGGAACACCAGGTCTTTATTCCAAAGTGCCTCTGGGTGGATTTGAACTTCTTAGGGAGCGCTGATGGCCTAGTGGTAAGAAGCTGTGCTGCAATCCTAAAGACGCGTGGTTCAAATGATTCTGTTCCCTGGGAAAAGAATGGGCAGTTTCCTCCCATTGACTTTCAGCCTCTGAAAACTTGCAAGAGGGTCAGCCTTGAGTCAGTTCTGACTCAATGGCAAACCACCACCACCTTTTGATTAGCAGCTAATCTCACTAGTTACTCGCATTACCCAGGATGTCTTCCTTTTTTTTTTTAATGACTTAAATATTCTAGTATTTTTTAAAATTAATTTTAATGAAAGTTTACAGAAACTTAGGGTTTCCAGTCATTCATTGTTACACTTTTCTCCCTACCCACTCTCTCTTCCCCCATTTCATTCTTCTTGAAAAGAAAAACTCTTTCATTGTTATGCAATCCTTCCCCCTAAGTCCACTCCACTATGTAGCCTTCACTCTGGACTTCTGTAATCATAAGAATACTAATTAATATGTCCCTTTTAAACAGTTCTCTCCCTCATCTGTTTCAATGCAATATATATCATTCCTCCCCCCCTTTTCTGTCTTCCCTAAATCCTGATGTCAGTCTCATTTTACAACAGTGGCACTATGCCATATTTGTCCTTCTGTGACTGAGATATTTCACTCAGCATAATGTCCTCCAGGGTCACCCATTTTGAATAATATTTCATGAGTTCCTTGTTTTTCCATGTTGCATGGTATTCCATTGTGTGACCATACCAGAGCTTCTCTATTCGTTTGTTTGTTGATGGACACTTGGGTTGTTTCCAGCTCTTTGCTATTGCGAACAAAGCCATAATAAACATGGGTGTGTATATATCTGCTTGGATGGAAGTTATGGTTTCTTTAGGGTAAATTCTCACTAGTGGAATTGCTGGGTCAAATGGGATTTCTATTTGCAACTTTTTGAGAAAGCGCCATACTGCCTTCCATAGTGGTTGCACCATTTTACACTCCCACCAACAGTGAATAAGGATTTCACTTTCTCCACAACCTTGCCAGCATTTGATGTTTGCTGTTCTGTTAAATTTTACTGGAGTGATATCTCATAGTTGTTTTGATTTGCATCCCTCTTAGAGCTAGGGATTTTGAACATGTTTTCATGTGTTCTTAGCCATCTGAATCTCTTATTTGGTGAAGTGTCTGTTCACTTCCTGTGTGCATTTTTCAGTTGGGTTATTTACTTTTAAAATACTCAACAAAATAATATTAGAGGGGAATTTCTTCAACATAGTAAAAAGTATATATGCAAACCCAAGAGCCAACATTATTCTCAATGGAGAGAGGTTAAAGACATTCCCCTTGAGAACAGGAACTAGGCAAGAATGCCCACTATCACTTCTCCTATTCAATATTTCATTCATCATCTTAGCGATAGCAATAAGGTATTAAAAGGAAATAAGAGGTATCCAAATTGGCATAGAGGAGATAAAATTATCTCTATATGCAGATGATATCATAGTATACTTAGAAAACCCTAAAGACTCAACAAGAAAACTACTGGACATAGTTGACCAATTCAGCAAAGTGGCAGGATACAAGATCAACATACAAAAATCAATTGGATTTTTCTACAGTAACAAAGAGAATAGAACTGGAGCTGAGAAAAACAATATCCTTCACAATAGCGAATCACAAGATTAAATACTTAGGAGTAAATCTAACCAGAAGCACAAAGGATCTGTTCAAAGAAAATTACAAAACTTTATTACAAGAAACAAAAAGACAACTGGAGAGGTGGAAGTCTATCCCTTGCTCATGGATAGGAAGACTCAGTTGTGACTTCTTTTTTGAAAGTGCTTATTCTGCAACATCACACCCTTAATAAAGTCATTATACTAGCAAAGTATTTTGGTTTATTGACTGCAATTAAAAAAATTGGGATTTCTTAAGATTAGTGATTTGAAACCTTAACTTTACATAATTGTGTAAGAGGTCATGTAAATCTACAAAGGAAAGAAATCTGAACTATTTTCAGTTTGCTAACTTAAAAATCATTGTGTTCCTTTTAATTTTAAAATAAGTGGCCAAAACAATTAAGTCAAAATTCTTCATTTAAGAATCCAGTTTTAAACTTAAGTAGCTTAACTTACCTTGTTGTGGTTGTTATGTGCTGTTGAGTCAACTACAACTCATAGCGACCATATGCACAGTAGCTCTAAACCCAGTTTTATCCTAAGCCAATTGCACACACCCACCCACATTATTCCAGTCACTATGTCAATCCATCTCTTCCAGGGTCTTCCTCTCCTGTGCTGTCCCTCCACCTTCCAAGTACGATATCCTTCAATCAATTTCCATGTCCCCCATGTCAATATATCCAAAGTGTGTGAGATGAAACCTCGAAAATCTTTGTCTCCAAGGTGCAGCTCGGTTTCACCCTCTCCAGAACAGACATGTTAGTTCTCTTGGCAGTCCATGGTATATTCAGTACTCTTTTCCAGCACCACCACTCAAAGGCATCAATACTTCTTCTGTCATCTTTGGTAATTGTCCAGCTCTCTGATGCAGAACAAGTCATTGTGAAGAGCATGGCCTGAAGATGACATAAAAGTTGTTCTTTAATTTTGAGTTTCAAAGCAGTTTTCCAATTGCAGATGCCTCAGAGTAAGTCTTTAACATATTATGAACTAATAACTTTCAATTTTACTTAATCCCCAGAATTATCACCAACCAGCCATTTTGAATGCCTCTGCTCTTCGGCAAGTTGCAGAAGGAACCAATATTTCTGCGATGTGGGAAGACGACCTCCGGCCACTGCTGAGAGAGCGCTATCCTGGATCGCCAGGAAGCTATGCTGCTCGCCAGGTGAGGACGCAGTGTGCAAACCTAAAGTCTGTTGGATATTTTGTTTCACATATAGGAAATCCTCAGTTGTCTAATATTGGGAGGGATACATTATCTTATGTCATTATTCACCAAAATGAACAGCTGAGAAATCCAAACAAACAAGAATAAATGTCTGATCTGAATGAAGTGATACATGGTGTTCTAAATCAAGTTAAATATGGGATCTGAATGGGAAATCAGACAGGGGAAAAAGTTCTTAACCACTGGCCATTTTCATGATATGTCTCCAGTCTCCCAGCCAAATCTTCTTGGATCCTAAGTAAACCCAGAACATCAGTAGTCTTATGTGGTCTTCTTGACAATTCTGGGCCGCTAGCACTATTTGACTATGAGGACTCCTTGTTGTTATGTGCTATTGAGTCGATGGTGACTCATAGTGACCCTATGAACACCAGATCTGAACCTGGCTCTATCTATCTTATGCCTTCCTCACCATCTCGGATATACTTGAACCCATTGTTATGGTCACTGTGTCTTGTTGAGGCTCTTCCTCTCCTATGCTGATCTTTCCAAACTTTCCAACATGATTTCTTTCTCCAAGGACTGGCCTCGCCTAACCCCATGTTCAACATATATGAGACAAAACTTCACCATCCTTGCTTCGAAGGAGCACTCTGGTTTCACTTTCTCTAAGACAGACTTGTGTGTTCTTTTGTCAGTCCATGGGATATTAATTACTCTTATGCAGCACTACAATAATGAACAAGTCTTCAACACTTGTGTGACTTTCATCCTTTCTCCAGGTCCATACGGTTTCCAGAGGCAAGCTATTTACAGAAGTGGATGCCTCTCCTGCTTCCAAGCTTGTTTTAATTGGAGAGTCCACCAAACACTGTCGGTCATCGGTAACTGTTAACACATTTGACACATCAGTGTCACAGTGTTCAGCTTCACAGCTACCACAAGCTACCTCAGTACAGCAAGTGGACACACCAGGGCTATATGACCTAGAATAGTAACACTTAAAAGCAAAAATTGTACTCATTGCTGTTGAGTCCTTTCCAACTCCATAGAAAAGAGAAGAATTGCCATGTATGTTTCCCAAAGCTGTATTTTTCCTACAACTATGCTCATTTCAAACCTATATCTAGACAAAGAAACAATTGTTCAAACAGATTTTAATAAAGATCCAAGATATAGCTTTAAATAAAGATCCCATTTCAAAATCAAGAAAACAGAATCCTCACCAGTAGACCAATAGGCAAGATCATCATAATGTTATTGCTGCATGTTTTCAAGTTGGAACTGACCCATAGCTTACCCTGCTGCAGATTTTTAGAGGCAGTAAATTACACAGAGGAAGCTGCTTATTATCCTTCTATGGAGAAGCTGATGGATTTGAACTCATGGCTTTGAGATTATAGCACGGCTTCTTACCACTAGACCAACAGAGCCCCCTGAACATCATGATAGATGGAAAAAAGATTAAAATTGTCTAAGATTTCATTTTACTTGGATCAACAATCAATATCCTTGATAACAGTAGTCAAGAAATCAAAAGCTGTACTGCACTGGGGAAATCTGCTTTCAAAAACTTCTCCAAATTTACAAAGAGCAAGGATATCAGTTTAGAGACTAAGATGCACCTGATCTCAGCCATGATAGTTTCAATTGCCTTCTCTGAAAGTTGAAAAGTGAATAAAGATATCGGAAAAGAATTAATACTTTTGAGTTGTGATATTGGTGAAGTGTACTGACTATTCCATGGACTACAAAAAAGAAATGAACAGGGTAGCCTGGAAAGGAAAGGGGACAGTGTGGCTCCCATCTCCTCCTCCGAGTATCCGCCACCTGTTTAATTCCTTGGGTAAAAGACCTTGGCACCCCACTTCCATGCCAAAGTGAGGCCTGCAAGGGCCAGCACCCAACTGCTTGTGTCTTCTTTTCTACTCAACATATATCTTCTGCCCTTCTAATCTAGCCATGTCAACCTTTGTGTCTGTTGATCCATTCTTGCTGGTGTTGCCAAGTTAACTATTATTCAGCATTGCTGTGAACAACAGATGAGAATCTTGCCATGTCCTGTGCCATCTTTACAATTCCTGCCATGCTCAAGCCAATGTAGTCCCTGTATCAACCCATCTCACTGAGGCTTTTTCTCTTTTTCTCTGGTTCTCTGCTTTCCCCAGCATGATTCTCTTGTTATGGGTTTCATGGTTTTTACTTCAAATATGTCTTGAGTATGTAATTCCCTTGTACTTGTAGAAGGAATCCCTGGATGACACACTCAGATAAAGTCTGAGCTACTAATTGAAAGTTTGACAATTTGGAAGAGATGCCTCAGAAGAAAGGCCAGGCAATCTGCCTCCAAAATGTCACAGCCCTGAAAACCCTGTGGACTGAGGTTCTGCTCTGCAATGTGGGGGGCATATGATCCTGTGTGAATAGAGACTTTGTTATGCTAATGAGGTCATGCCAGAGAAGGATTGGTCTTAAACCTAAATACTTCTGAGTTCTAGAAATAATAGAATAGACCCACAGAGGGAGAAGATGCTATCTGAAGGCACATACAGATGCGTCTACAAGCCTATGGACTTTGAGGTTTGCTCACTACTAGAACATGAACCAGATGGACTAACATAATGCCCGCTGCAATGGGCTCAAGTATGTCAGAAATGATGCAGATGGCACAGGTTAGGACAAGGTTCAATCTGTTGTTCAGAGGGTTGCTATGAGTCTTAACGGCTCATGACATCTAAAAACAGAAGGTGAAATGGAGTCGCTGTATTACAAATGGTTCATAAGCTTGGCTACTAGTTGAAAGTTTGATTTGAGCCCATCCAATCTTTAGAAAAACAGCTGGAAGTGTGCTAAAAAACTATTAAAAATTCCTGACTTTATTTTGACAGATGTGGGCTCCCCACAGATTGGAGTTCACTTAACAGCAACTACTTGGTTGGTTTGTTCACTCCCTCACTCACTCATTGATGCTGCCCCTCTAATGGATTCTCTGAGGCTGTAAATTGTACAGGAGAAGATTGCCCTTTTCCCTCCTGTGCATTTGAACTTCCTGTCTTAGGGCTGGTAACACATCTCCCAATTCACTAGGCCACCAGGGCTCCCTGGTTGGTTTCGTAGAAGCTGAAACAAAGAAAGACCACCTATTAGATGTTAGAGTCATGTCTGAATTCAGATGTCCAGCTTCCTGAACTGTGAGAAATATGTTTCTGTTCTTTACAACACTGTTTTAGTATGTTACATCCCAGCAGTAACACATTCCTGTCTCATAGCTTCTTCCAAGGAATTAGGTGGAGACAATATCAGGAGGAGTGAGACACAAATGTCAGTACAGAGGCTGGCTCTCCCTAAGGCCTCCCTCCGGATCTGACACTCTGTCAGTTGTTGACACGGACCAACAATCTGATAGTCTCTGCAACTATCCCACCACCTGGATAACCTTTGTTTTGTTTTGTTTATTTTTCAAAAATAATAAAATTCAATTCATTTCAGTTAAACGTTTATCTTTTTTTTAAAAAAATGTTCTTTTTATGTGGTCACATTAATAATATAGCTTCTAGGCTACACATTAGCCAGAAATGGAATACACAAATGGAACAATAATGGGCCTGCTTTTTAATATGAAGATGGAAATTGCATTAAATTACATGTTAATGAAAAAAATAAAGTGAAAGATAATAAGGTGATAGCATTATTATGCTCCTATAAAGTCTAGGTTACAGGACATTGGGGGTTTTTTACTTTGTTTTAACCTTTCAACATTTTTACTGGTTTTCATATAATAATTCATATACATTGTGTTTCATTCATGTATATTGTGTTTTATAGTGTTTTTAATGAGAGATATTGTCTAGATTTCTTTTTTATAGTCTTTCATTTATATTGTGTTTCATACAATCATTCATATACATTGTATTTTATATAATTAAGTACTCTCGATCCATATCTGTGAACTTTCCTATTCCCCCCATCCTCCCGCTAACCTCTTCTATCCTAGTGATTACCACCCTTCTTCTTTTTCTGCCGCCTTCCTCCTTACTCACTTCCCCTTCTGAACATTTAGACACATCTTACCTGGTTAGTTTTCCAATTATAGTTTTATGCAGTATACATCCTTATAAGGCAAGTGCACTTTTGAGTTAGTTCACTCAGCATAATGCTCTCTAGACTTTCCCACATTATATAGTATTTTACGAAATCATCTTCACTCTTGAGTGTTACGTAGCATTCCATTGTGTGAATGTACCATAATGTCTCAATCTATTTGTTTGCTGATGGACATTTGGGCTGTTGTCATTTTCTTGCTACTGTGAATAACTTAAGTGTACATATCTCTGCTTGTGTCTTCAGTTCCAATTTCCTTGAGATATATTTCTAGCAGTGCAATAGCTGGATCATATAAGATTTCTATCTTCAGCTTTTTTTTAGAAAATGCCAAACTGCCTTCTAGGGTGGTTGTACCGTTTTACAATCCCACCAGCAGTGCATAAGAGTTGCAATTTATCCACATCCTCTCCCACATTTATTACTTACTGTCCTGTTTAACTTTGCTATGCCTACTGATAATCCACACAGTCAAATGCTTTTCTATAGTCAATGAAACACAGATAGACATTCCTCTGGTACTCTCTTCTTTCAGTCAAGATCCACTTAACATTAGGTATAATATCTTTAGAACCATGGTGTCTTCTAAATCCAGTCTGCACATCTGGCAGTTCTCTGTTGATATACTGTTTCAGTTTTTTTTAAAAAAATAATTTTCATCAGAATCTTGCTTGCATGTGATATTGATGATATTGTACAATAATTTTCACACTCTTTTGGGTCACCTTTCTTTGGAATGGGAACAAATATCTCTTTCAGTCAGTTAGCCAGGTCATTGTCCTCCAGATTTCTTGGCACTTGGTGAGTACATCCATGGCAATGTCTGTTGAAATATGTCAACTGGTATGCTATCAATTCCTGGGGCCTTTTTTTGGCCAATTCTTTCAGAGCAACTT